ATGACAGGCATAATATATATTGGACAGAAATACACTTCATGGATTGCTAAGGAGCCCCCATCCCCTCAACAAAAAAAAGAATAAAAAGAAAGAAACTTGTGATGTGGATGATTTACAGGAGTCATCCAAATTAACTTGAAAAAAGTGAGATATTCTAACGTATTGCTGTCTTAATATTACAGGTTTATTCGTGTGTAAACAATATTTCAGGGTGGTCGACTGTATAATATTTAACTACTGTGTATACTGCTGGGTGGTTTAATTGATAACAATTCATTATAGATAATAAATCATCAAATGTTTAGTATGTAATGTCATTACCTGTAAAGTAACTAGAAATATAATTGTCAGACAAATGTAGTCGAGTAAAATGTACTTATACATTATTGCATTTGTAATAACAATTCAGTAATAAATAGAACTCATCAGGACTACTTTTCTGCAAAATTAGTACAATTAAAGGAAGAGAATTTTCTGAATAATACTACAAAAACACACGCCCCTACTTACAGCTACTTTGCATAGCTAGCCTGATTACCTTTTAGTATGACGACTTTAGCTTGTTACTTTTTTCTCCATTAAGATGTAAGATGCAGCGATTGTATTATTTGTGCGGTATAACATATTCAATTGTGACTTTAAAAAAATCTGATTAATCTTAAAAGTCTAAAGCCATAAATAAATACATCTAAATTTCAGGCAACAGGAAAGTTAATTTAATCAATTTAAATTCCCTTTAGTTATGGCTAACAGTTGGCCTTAATTAGCATGACTGCAATGCATGTAGATACAGATTTTTTTATTTCTCAGAAAAGTATTTTGTATATCAATTTTCAGAGTAAGGCATTATATTAAAAAAAATCAAAAAAAAAATCTGATCATACGTCTGTATTGACTAAACATATAGTTACTGGGTTACATGACAGAAATTAAAATTTTAAAACATTTTAAAAGTACAGATTGTCCCTTTAAATAACCCGGAAGTAGAAAGCCAGCTCTAGCGGATATTACCGTGAAACTGAGGTCAGAAGTTCTCTCTCACAGCCATCTTGGATATAACGTCCCGAGTTGGTGAGTGTCTCCGCTGATAATCCAACATAATCCAGCTGCTTTTCATATATTTCTAGCAAAATCAAAGGTTTCATGTGTTTAACTAAAGTAGGGCTATCAGGCCGGTGCCACTATTACTCTTGTTTGGTGTCTCCGTTCAGCGATAAATGTGCTGATGTGCCGCTGATTACCGGCTCAAAATGGGGGGACATGATGTCTTACCAGTTCACTAGCAGTTCGTCAGGGCCGCAGTGAACTGTGTGACAAGACTTGTGAGGCTGATACATGTGACAACTAACTGCTAACTTAAAAGAAGTCAGATTCGAGAGAAAAGTGATGGTAGACTTGCCTACTAGCTGCTAGCTTCGCCTTGTTGAGGCTTACTGAAGCTGTTGTCTATCTGAAGCTAACGTTAGCTAAATGTAGCTTCAGTAGCGCTACAGACTGAGCCTGCAGGCTAAAGCATGGGCTCCGTCACCTGTTCAACCAGTTATGACAACTGCGAGTCAGTGTATTCTAGCGTTAATTATTGCTTGTGTGTCAAATTATCTGTCTTAAATTTCTCTGCGTTTGCTTTCGGTCATTAAGAGAACCAGCTTGTGCTAACAAACTGTCATTTCTTCATTTTCAAAACCAGCAACTATGCCTGGCGAAGCCACAGAAACGGTCCCAGTCACCGAGCAGGAGATGCAGCAGCCTCAAGTAGAGACTGGTATGTATATTTCAGCTTTCAAGAACTTGCATGCAGAACTTAGTATTAAATAGCAGGGTCCTGGATCTCTAGCAGTGTTCCCAAAAAAATATCTGTCTCTAGCAGATGGAGGGAATTTTGTGTGATTGGCTGATTATTGGGTTCAGCCAGCTGACTCAGCTGGGAGTACACCGAGTTGATCTAACAGGTGATGGTTATTTGACTGTCATCAGCCACGCGGTGGAACATTTGTGACAGTAAATGCACACTGAGGAATTCGCATTTGCAATATTGTTTGACTTAGATTGAAAAGAGTAATCCAGGACTCCTGTTTCATTTACACAAACTCACAATGGTGTGTGTTGACTTGTACTGACTACTTGATTTGGCACACAATGCATGGTGTTGAGAATGGTTTTCCGTGTGCACCTAAAATGCCTTGGAAACCCACCATGTGTAACTTGGAAGTAACATTGTTTGCAACGGCACAGCTCATTGTGTATTTGATGTCTATTTTGGTGTGACCCTTAAATGTAGTTGTAGCAGTGTAAGTCACGAGTCTCACTTTCAGCACTTAATATTTGAAGGTTTGTTTACATATAGTACTTTGTGCTCTTTTGAACAGAAATAAGGAAATAACTGGAAATATACAGATGTGTCACGGGGGCTAGGCTAGCTGGAGGCTGTAATCATGGAAGTGTTTCAGTTACAGCGTTACATCGGAGCGGTTGTTGGTAGAAAATATTGTAATTTGTCTTTTTTTAAAAACGCTGATTAGGTCTAAATTTTGCATAATGTTTCAGCTGTCTTTGTATCGTTATGAATTCTTCTGCATCACTTTTCTCTTTCTTGCCAACTGATCAGTTGGTGTAGCAGTCCATATCAGTTTGCATCAGAGGGATGTCTAACAAGCTTCATCATCATTCAGCAGTTAGCTGTAGCTATCTCTCTACAACCAGATGTAAAATACCCTGAGAGTTCTCTGGCATGTGCATTTGTTTGAAAAGAATTGGGCAAGTACAGCAAATTGGAGTCTCTTGAATGAAGCCAATAGCCTATAACTGATTTCATTAATTCAAAAATGTTGATAGGTGTGTACTATAATTTTAACAGTTCTGTATGTTACTTGGACTTGTAAACACACAGTCACTGAGTTAGCTTTAATCAAACTGACCATGTTGTGGGATTGGAAAGGCTTACATATTGCTGCATTTTTATTTTTTTATTAACTGAATATATAAAATATAATATAAAATAAATTAATTTAAAACTGTACTCCTTTGACTTTAATGCAGCTGCGTCTCTTCATCTGGAGTTATCACACTGTGATCTTGACCGATGACCTGCCCACAGCACTATCTGATTGGTTACACATCATGAGTAATAGCCTGTCAGCACACAAGGATAAATATTGTAAAATTCTCTCTGACCTAAAAACAAATGAACAAAAATGTAAAAATACACTACCATAATTTGCCCACAGTTTTAAGTAAAAGTTTGATGTGTATGTGAAATTGCATTACCAACAAGTACAATATACAGACCAATATCTTACCTTATGTGTTGCCATGTTGACGGAGGTTGGAAAAAGGGAATTATTCAGCCTTGCAACTAATTATCTGTACATATAGAAACCTGAGGCATCAGTGGGTGCTGTTGAGCAGGTGTAGCGCTCATTGCTAAGCCAACTGTGCAGCATTCATCAGTAGTTGACAATGTTTAAAATATTATGAACAACTATCAGGTCATCTTTCAGAATTGGAGTTGGGTGTCCTTGTGTTAATACTGGCTGCATTGCTTGAAATAAAAGGCCTTTGAAGTGGATTGCAAAATGGTTTTGCATTTTAGTGAACTGCTTAGAACTTAAACAGTTACTTTACATTGAGTTTATGGATTATTTTTGTGCATCTGGTTCTGTTTTGGATAAGGGAGGTCTCACAGCACTTAATCACTGTGGATACTGCATGAGGTTTGAGACACTGACACTTTTTCAAAATTTGAGTTCAAAAGCAACTCAAGAGCCACTTCCACATTGCTGCAACTTTCTCACAAACTTGTCTGTTCACGTGTGGAGCACTGTTTCTTTTGGTTTATCCCATCAAGTGCTTACGTGAGGCTTGTAGTATTTCCCCTCAAATAGCTACAGTGATTCCCATACCTCCCATTACTCCCATTGCTCTTCCTTTATCAGCTGCAGGACTATTGAATTCTTCTGCTCCTCCTGAGATAGCTGTTTCTACTATGAGCAAGGCAGTCCCACTGGAGAACCCTCCAGAAACTGCTGTTCCTGGTCAAGAGATGGGCTCTGCAGAAGAACCCAGCTGTCAGGCTAGCTGTGATCAACCAAATGGTGTAGTTGCCACTGAAGACATGACCAAGCAAGCGGAAGAGAGTGGGTTGAAGGGAACACCTGTCTCACAGCAAGGGCTGACTGCTGACCCAGCAAGGCCGTCAGCTGGTCTGCCAGCTCCTGAAGAGTCTAAGCCCTCTGTTGAGGCTCCCATTGCTTCCTCAGAGATGCGCATTTACGAAGAAGCAGCTACCGCTGACAAAGAGCAAAGTCAGTCCTTTGTTGCAGCTGAAGAATCGACCAGCCAAGAGGTCAAGCAGACTTCTGTTGACGCAAAGACATCTGGAGAAGAGCCAGGAGCAGCAGGAGAAAAAAGTCTTGATAATTCAAAACCATCTGCTCCTGAAGATGTCTGTGCAAACAGTGAAGATGGAGTGAAGACTGCAGAAGAAAGCTTAAAGAATCTGTGCCTGGGTGACATTAATGTCAGCCTGGCTACTCGGAATGAAAATCTTGACAAGAAAGAACCTGCCATCCTTCTCTCCACGGCCATTCAGTCAAAGGGGTCCGATAAATGCGAAGCCCCACCTATTTCCACCCGCCATCTGTCAGGTTGGTTTATCTTTTATGAAAACCAAGTGCTTTCATTTTCCTTGCAGTTTTTATGGATATCATTCTGAAAATACACTTTGATCTGAATCTCCTTAAAGTATGTGGTCACTGATATCTGCGGTGTGAGAAAGATGACTAAATAGGTTGGGGCTGCCGTCGCTGTTAGTGATTTTGTCATGGTGGGTTGTAACTTGTTCAGAAGCGTCAAAAGGGTTGTCATTCTCTTTCTATAACTAGTTTTCACCTCATTACACTCGTTACACCTCAGCTCTGGATATGTCTGTTGGCTTGAAACAAAGTTTTTATACACCATATGACTTTGTAATCAAGGCAAATACTTGGTTGTACAAATATTTAAAGGCATAGTGTTAAATAGTATCTAGTTTATTTTGTGCAATGCGTGCAAGTGTATTCCTTGAAGCACCTGATCAGTGTTGCTATGCTTGTTTAGCGTTGTCCTGTATTGTGCGATATTTCCTGAGATGGGGTTGCTGTGATCTGCATTGCAAGAACAATTTTCCTTTTTGCCCTAAGTGCATCTTGACTAAATATAGAATAAGGTTTTCTGTGTGGAAGTGGGAAGTATGTACTGTGCATTTTGAGTAGCAATTTGCATCAAACTCTATGAAGTTACGGAGGTGTGCTCTTCTCTTAACCCCTAAGCAAGAAGATTGCGTCTTGGTTTGAAAACATTTAACCTGCATGAACAAGAATTCCACTGTGGGGTCAAAAATTTTACTTTCCTTCTATTCAGCTACACCTCCTGCCCCAGCTTCCTCCCAGCAACCTCAGGCAGCTTCAGGCCCTGCCAAACCCAAAGGCAAAGATGCCAAGAGTGGGCAGGGTCCCTCTGCCCCAAAGGCTGTCCCTGGCAGAAGAAAACGCTCCTCTATGTCTGCCTCTTCCGCCTCTCCCACCTCCCCAAAATCTACCCCCTCCTCCACCCCCCTGTCACCAGTGCCATCTCCCCTGGCTTCCTCACCTGGTGGCTCTCTTGCTAATCAGGCTAACCGTGCTACCCCAAAAGTCGTCAAGGCTGGCAAACAAGGAAAACCTAAAAAAGGAGAGGCATTCATGCCTGTTCCTGTCCCAGTTGAGTGCAAGGTCACAGAAGCACATGAAAAGTCAGTGGACTCTAACCTCAAGAAACCTGTAACTGCTGAAGCTAAACCAGCCCCAGTAGAGACAAAGGCTGCCCCACCAGCTGCTACAAAACCTGTTGCACCTCTAGCTGCTTTTAAAGTTACCTCAATGCCCGCTGTGGCAGCACCAGTTTCATTTTCAGATACTATTGCTCCTGGCCCTCCAAAATCAGTTGACGTTAAGGCGGCTTTGCCAAAAGCTGCTCCTATTATTGCAGCTGCTGACGATGAGCTCCCTCCACTTATCCCACCGGTGAAGCCCGTTAAAATGCCAGAATTTGTACCCCCCATTGAGAAAGAGGGTGCAAAGCTTGCTACATCTCCTGCTAAATCCACTCCTCAGAGTTGTACTATTGCTCCTGTTGAGGCTGCTCAGGTATCATCGAAACCCAAGACAGATAATAAGCAGAAGTCTGTGTCTGTTGAGGCTGCCAAGACAGCAGCCCCAGTGAAATGTGCTCCTGTTGAAGCTCCTAAAGCTCCTAAACCAGTAGTTGAGGCCAAACCTGCTCCCACTGAGGCTGCTAAGCCAGCTGCTGTGGCCAAACCAGTTCCTGTTGAGGCTGCTAAGCCAGCTGTTGAGGCCAAACCGGCTCCTGTTGAGGTTGCTAAACCAGCAG